ATCACATCTTGCCGTGCAACAAAAAAACCTGTTCTCAAAGGCAGTCTTTGAAATTAAGTAAGAGCATGAAAAATACAAGACGAAGCACTAAGAAAGCAAATCTTTGAAGAGTTTCTAGCGAGAGCAAAACCACCATCCACAAGTTGCAGCACAGCAAACGACGCGTTTCAAACAAAGAACGAAAAAAATGGTTGCAAATGCAGATTACACAATATTTAAGAAGTCAAACTACCTGAGGAGTTAACCAGAGACAACATACATATGCAGCACTTCAGAAACAACCAGCTCTGTAGTGGTGGTGATGTGGTCAAGGCGTTTCCTTGGTGTGTGCAGGGAGGGTGGGCAGCTCCCTCGGAGATGTGAGGACACCCTGCCTCGTGCCCACCGTGATGGCATCGCTCAAAACCACAAGAACGGAGGGCGAGAGGCTGGTGAGGTCACCAAAACACTGAGGGGAATTGTGCATATCTCCATTTTTCTAGAATATGTTGTTTGGTGGTTTTTTTGGGTTTTTTGGTTTTTTTTTTGCTTGAATTAGTGCCTCGAGTTACTGGCTAACAGACTGTACAGTCGTGTCCCTTAGAAACTGGCTGTGACTCTCCATTTTCTGCTGGGTTACTAAAGCCCAGTTGCAGAGACACCCCCACTGCCCAAACGCTGAAGGGAACTTGTGTACTCCCAATACAGAAAGATGAATGCACGAGTAAAATTCTGCAGGATCAGCACCTTGATATGTGGTGGAGAGTACTGGGCTATTTATTTTTGTCAAGTTTATTGAGTGCCTAGGAAAACCCTATTATAAATAAAGCAGCATGCTCTTAATAAAACTTCACATGCATGGTAAGTTTTCAATTTATACTGGGGTTTATATACATAATAAATTTTTTTATTTTAACTCCACGTTTTAATTTTATTTCATGCGTTCATATATTTACTTCCCCTGTATTTACGCTCAACCTAAAAAAGCTCCTCCATTTATTTCTTCCATTTCCTAAACACTAAAAGAACTACATGTTTAAAAAACCTGTTTTTATGCTTTGAAATCTCATCCTGGAAGAACCCATTTACACTGAAAAACACCAACCTCAGGCTCCATTAATTGCGCTACTGCAAAAATTCAAGACGGTCACAGAAGCAATAAGCAAATATCCCATGAAGCATTCCCAGACAAGCACCATTTTCCAATCTATCGAGCTCCTAGTTCGAAAAGCTCAAGTGCCATTATCAGGCTGTGCTCAAGCAATATTTGCAGGTTTTAGTCAATAGAACTTTTGTATTTAGGAGCATTTGAATACCTGACCCATACCTGCTTAAAATTCAGGTTAGCAAGTTTAACTTTCAACTGTATCAGTTCCTTTGGTACCGAGACAGAAAAATAAATAAATAAATAAATAAATAAATAGCTTATTTTAGTTACTGGAAGTCTCTAACTTGTAATTGTCACTTACTTTAAAAATTGAATCCCATTTGAAGACAACAACATTAATAATTCAGCATTAACCTGATCCTGTAAACATCTGGTTACACTGTAAATTTGAAGAAATTACTGTCTTCCACAGAAAAAAGTACTCCAGCTAAGGGTTCCTGTTCTTATACTTTCGCTGGTATTAACAGTTTTTAAAACCCAGTGCATATCCTGCTAATTTTGAGTTTCGCTCCTTTTTATAGAAAAATACCGAGATATTTATCCACTGATTTCCAGCTCCCAGTAGCACAGCTAAAAAACCCACCACAAGCTAAGAAAAGAGTTTCTAGCAATCCTTAATTTGATTTGAAGCACTTGGTTTTGATGTGAGTACTTCCATAATTTCATCTTGATTTATATTTGTAATGCCTGCTGCAGTGTGGCACTTATTAATTAAACTGATTAAGGGTCTTCAGCTGTACCCTGGGCCCTCCACTCTTCCACCCACTTTGCTCCTAACTGTCATTAACCTCTAGGAGAAGCCCTCCTTGTTGGTCATTATTCTTTAATTATGCTTTATAGTTATGTCATCACATCTGTGAAATACAGCCTCCCCTAACAACACAGCTGTGGAATATGACACTCCTGCCCAGCAGTAAAATCCTGGGTACAGCAGATTAAATGTACACACGATGCTGATGGAGGAAGTGATAGGAAGCTTTTCGAAGGCCCTTGATTTTGAACAGGTCTGTTGAGACAGGAGGTACGTAGGGTCTTCAAGAGAGAGGCCTCAAATTCTTCCTCTTTCCTCCCTTCCCCACCCCTCCTGACAAAAATCTTCTGCACATTTCAGGAATAACCACTCCTAAACTTAGAAAACTTCACAAAGAGAACTTCTACACGGAAACAGCGAAGCGAGAAGAAACCTCAGAAACAGAACTTATGAGCTCAGAATCTATTTTTTTAACAAATACTATGAATTACAGCTGAAAGGCACTTTTTCCTGGAACCCTCTGCTTCCATTCATGATCTCATGATGCACAAGCATTTCCTCTGCATGTAATATAACAGCAGCAGTGACTGCAGTGGTCCAAAAGAAATAGGACTTGGCACATTTCTGCCATCCTTTGCAGGTGGGGGGGTGGAAGAAAGGCGGGCAACCATCCAAAACCACTGGTTCTTAAAATATTACAGCAAGAGCTCCCCACAAGGACCTCCCTGTAAATTAATGCAATGACCATTAATTTCTGAAATATAAAATAAACTGTACATTCTGCCCCCACGAGAAGGTGGGGCTGTATCAAACAGGGCAGAAGTGTCACCATAACATACAGGACAATCCACAGTTTCTTCTGCAAAGTCTGTGTATTACAACCTGTCCTCACTCTGTCCTCCTTTCGACAATATGAGCTGGCAGTAAGCACCCAGGATTCCGTACAGAGAGGAAATGGTACCAGCCAGCACTTCGTGTTTACTGGGGAGGGGAGATTTTGGTGTGTCTGTGTGTGTGTGTAGCAGGGTGACTGGGAGGGAATTGTCTGATTTTTCAAGAGCGGAGATAACGAGATAACAGCAGACAGTTTAAAGCCTCAATCAAGACTGTGTATACCAGGATTTTCTTTTTCCTGGTCTGGGTTACAAACCCTTGACTGGCCAGTAAGGAGTTGTTTACCTGTTAGAAGCAAGGGGGCAAATTCCTTTAGATTGATGCAAAACATTTTCCTACTCTGGAAGTCAGAAAGGGAGGAGCATCAAGTTTATTTATGTAGCTCAAACAGCGGTCAAACTAAGAGGATGTCTTATTGTGCAGAGTTCATAACTGAACATTAAACTCCTCCTTTTAAAGCAATGAAGAAGGAAAACTACCATTCCCACTCCAGAAGTCACGAGCAAAGGGGAGAGAAATACACAACCAAGTTGCTGCTCGAGAGAGTTTTCTATCACAATGCTTATGATTAACCAAGTGAAGAAACAGAATGGCAGGGAGGAGAGAGCTTGCACAGATAAACCCAAAGCCAGAGGGAACGACAACAAGAAATGCCCTGGGCTTTGGGTGGTCTTGTTTTACACAGCCAGATTAATTAAAGAGACACTAAAGGACATCTCTTTTAGAAAATGAAACACGTTACAAACCAAAACGCCTCAGAGAGCGAGCAGCTAGGGAGTTATAACTAAATTACTACGTACAAAATGAAGCAGCCTGCAGAGGAAATGAGTAATTAAAAAACCCTCCCCTGAGCTACAGGCTGGTGAGCGAGGGGTAACTCCAGGACCCTGGTGCTGGAGGTAAACAGTACCAAGACGCGACAGACGAAAACAGCTGTTTTATACAAACAACAAAACCCCAATCTCCTGACTTTTCAGCACCTTTTCACTCAGAGATGGCATTAGACACAGTCTGCCTGGTACAACCTGAAGAGATGCAGGCAGGAATTACATCACCCACCACCACCACCACGCTGCTGCCCCGGGGTGAAGCACTGCAGTCGCTGGACAGTGCTCAGCAAACATAAACAATGTTTGCAGAGGAAGAAAGAAATGCATGTCAACCTTGTTCTTCTTCCTGCAAGAGAGTTAAACAGACCAAAGACAACCACCTCCCTGCCAGCAGAGAAACTCTTCTGCAGCCCTCTCCCCTTCCCCAAGGAGGGAAAGACACCTTGAGCACCTGCTGTCCAGGTGTCCTGGGGAGCAGCATCACCCCTGGCCTGGCCTGACTCCTTCATTTTTCTGTTGCCTCAGAGAAACACCAGGAACAACACTCAATTTGCCAACCCTTAAATAAGCACTCTGGCAAAGTGGTTTCCAACTTTTTCCACTAGATCTTTTCCAGGGAAGGCAACGCCTGGGTGTAGCACGTTTTAGCCGACTGACAACAATCCTTCTTCACTGATTCGTCTTTTTGAAAACCCTTAGAGTCCACTAGTTGAACATGAGTCTGTTGGCAGGCGGGCATGGAGGATAATAACCCTGGGCAACACCCTGCAGTAAGGGGCTCACAGTTTTTGCCCAGACATGGTTCCCTCAGAGGGAGCAGCCCCAGGCCCAATGAACATCATCCCCTTACTCAGTCATAGATGGCAGCAAAGGCGAGAACACCCCTGCTGAAGTTGAGGTGGATGCCCTGGCTGTCTCCAGGCAGATATTCCTCACCACCACCTCAGGCTGTCCATCAGCTGAGTGTCCCTCACCCACTGTGACCAACCTCAAGCGAGGGGACCCTCACCATGAGGGTGAGCAGGGGGATCCCTCACAGCCCCCTTATCACCTGTGGCCCCCTCACCGTCACCTGAAGCCCCCCAACTTCTTCAGAGGTAGACTCTCAGGCCCTTAGTGGGCAAGGGGGACCCTTTACTGTCTCCTTCATCAGCGGTGGGCCCTCACCGTCACCTCAGGCCCTGACAGACCCACATCCCCTGCGCGGGGACACCTCCACAGCCCCTCGGTGGGGGCAAGGGACCCCTCACACCCCTCCTGCGAGCCCCCTCTCCGCCCAGCCCCGCGTCCCCTCCCCGGGGCGGAGGGTCCCCGTCCGGCCCCTCGGGCCGCCCCTGCCCCCCGGAGCGGGCCCGGCCCCGCCGCCCCCGGCACTCACTGCGGCGGGAGCTGCAGGGCCGGGCCGCCGCGGCGCTGGAAGGCGCCGTCCACGAAGACGCCGTTCTTGCCGAGGCAGCGCAGGTAGAAGTGCGGCTCCTGGAAGCTGAGCTGCAGGTGCCGCCGCGAGATGAAGCTGGAGTGCCCCATGTTGACGTCCACCGACCCCTGCGAGGAGTTGCGGCCTATGGTGACGGCCGGCTGCCGCATGAGGAACTCGAACTCGCGGCCCTGCAGCCGCGCCAGCACCGGCCCGGCGCAGGCGGCGGGCGGCGCGGCCGGGGGCGGCGGCCCGGGAGGGGGCGCGGCGGCGGGGCTGCAGGGCGCCGAGCGCAGCGCCAGCAGAGCCCGCGCCCCGCTGCTGTCCTCCCCGACTTCGGCCATGTTCCCCGGCAGCGAGCGAGCCAGCGTACCGGCCTCCGGGGCGGGGCCGGCGGGGCGGGGATGGCGGGGACGCGGGGCGGGGCGGGAGCCGCGCCGGCCGCCGCCTCCCCCCCGGCCGCTCCGTCGGGCGCGGCCGCCCCGCCGCGGTCCGGGGTGCGGGGCGGGGGCGGCAACGGCGGCCGCGCGGCGCCGCCTGCGGGGCAGGGCGGGCAGCGCAGCCCCGGCGTGAGGGAGCGGTCCCGCCTTGGGGGGGGGCCGGAGCTCGGCGGTTAAACCGCTCCGTGTGCCGGGTCCGAGCGCTGGGTCACCTCGGGAACACCAACCCCCCCGCCTCAAACCGATGTGCTCCGGGGCTTTCTGTGGGGCAGGGGAGCATCCACCCCACGGCGGGGCTCTGGGCTCGGGGGCCTTTTGCTGCCGCGCCACAGAGTCACAGAATTTTGGGTTGGAAGGGACCACCCCTGGGCAGGGACACCTTCCACTATCCCACTTTGCTCCAGACCCTGTCCAGCCTGGCCTTGGACACTTCCAGGGGCAGCCACAGCTTCTCTGGGCAACCTGTGCCAGGGCTTCTCCACCCTCACAGCCAAGAATTTCTTCCCAATATCCCATCTAACCCTGTCCTCTGACAGTTTGAAGCTGGGGGAATCATAAAACCGTGGTATGGTTTGGGTTCCAACACCCTACTGTGGACAGGGACATATTCCATGCGACCGGGTTGCTCCAAGCCCTGTCCAGCCTGTCCTTGAACACTTCTAAGGTTGTCATCACACCCCACCAAGTCCCACCGTGCTGTGAGATGGGAATTCCATCGCAATACAGCTTTATTACCCCCGAACTGTTTGCCAAGGCTTGCTGAAGGGGGAGATTCATCCCACATTCACAAAGGTTTAAAACAGCTTAATTCATTTTTATAGAGTTTATATATATACACACACACACACACACACTCATATATGAATGTATATACTCATATAGTGTTTTTATACTCATATAGCTTTACACCATTTCTCATTATAAGGGAGTATGTAGGTTGTTTAGCTTGCATTACATTATCACTTGCTTTGGATTACTTTCTATATATATGATTATATATGATGTTTTTATCTATGTTTATATTAATGATAAAGGACACGTTCTTTGCATCAATGGCATGCATTTGCCTCGTATATAGTCTGTGCTATGCACATATATCCAATCTATCCAGGTTAAACAGGTAAAATGTTTCTATATAGGTGAGCTGGTGATACTGTGCAGAATCCTGAATTGTTAAGTAACCAGAAAATACAATGGATTTGAGAATCTTGTGGGAGGGAGCAGCAGTAATTGCATGTTTCTTCAGGTCGTGTGGGTAATGGGGCAGCTCGTAGCAAGGCTGCTCAACAGCTTCGAGGAGACGGGGAAAAAAAAAATCCCATAACTGGTCAAAAGTGCAGAGCAAATTTCAGCGATGAAAACTGTAATTAAACGAGCTGGAATCAGTCCAGGACCACAAGGTTAACATCCCTGTTCCTGAAACATCTTCCCTGAGATGTTTAATGACTGCTGAGCAGTTGGGACTGCATTAGACATCTCACCCGAGACACCGTCTTCAGTGCGAGTGCTCTTTGCCTCTGCAGTTCAGTACCAAACGAGAGGAAGAAAGAAAAGCCCTGACTAACAAAACACCAATCTCACCTCCTTCACAGCAGTGTCAGCTCTGCAGTGAGGCCCAGCACAGCAAAAGGTTGCAGGAGAGGGAGGAAAGGCATCCCTGGAGGGGGCATGGGGAGGAGGGAGGTGGTCACGAGAAGTGGCCACGCTGGAGGCCTGGAATTACATTACATCTGAAATACTGCTCGAAGTGGTGAGGAGCAATTAAGTGGGGTCCCAACATGCAGCAGTGGCATAACCTGAGCCCCAGTGGGGACCTTTACTGCCCGCACCTGCCTGCCTGAGCTCCTCTCCTGCCCCGAAGTGCTCGGCTAGAAAGCAAAAATGTGGCCGTGGGGTCGGTGAGAGCCAGAACAACACTCTGCCTGATGGGAGAACTAGCTCAAGCCTTTAGACCCTTCACATCAGGATGAGCATGCTGGTAACTCTGCTTAAAGATGGACCCAAGGTGGTAGGCAGGTGAGTGGGAGCAGGAAAGGTGAGACCTCATATCAAAGCAGCTTTAGTCCTGTCAAAAAAATATAAAAGAGAAAGCAGCACCAGAGAGATTTTAGTTGGCGTCTAAAGATTTTCTAAAACCTCAAATTGTGTCATTTGACCTGGAGGGCCCTGAAAGGATCAGAAATAGGGTGAGGCTATTACCAGGTGTTGTCAGTAAATGTTTCTGTGGCGGCATGGGAAAACATTTTGTGGGCCGGCTGGCTCAGGGCAGGAGCAGGGTGGTGGTTCCAAACTCAGGAGTTACAGGGAGCCCCGTGGACCCACGTGGCTCTTCTGATGTGGGGCCAAGAGATGTGTCACTGCCAGGGCTGTTTACTGCTCCCTCACTGGATACAGGCTACAGATTTCTGCAGCTCCAGTCAGGGCATAACCCCAGGGCTGACACGTGAGGCTGGCTGCAAAGATCCTCACCCTGCTTCAGAGCCCCAGGGCAGAGCTGGTGCAGCCTCACTCATCCAGGGCTGCGAAGCTGGTGATGTCAGTGGGCACATCCACACGTGCCACGGTCACTCTGCAGCCACCGGGGCACTCCTGCAGCACCAATCGGTGAGATTTTTCTTACAGCTCTTTTCCTTTCAAACCTGCAAATTTCTTCTGAGTGGAATTTGCTGCTTAAGCCAGCACCGCTGCTGAGATAAATCGCAGCTTCATGCAAAATGTGATCAAGTGGTGTTCAGAAACAGGATTCCTCTGAGCTGCCTGATGGGTTGTGCTTAGCATCGTGTCTCACCAGCTCATCTGCCTGTGGCATCCTTTCCCTAAGCTTCTTGTGCCGTGAGGAACAGAGCGCTGTGCTCGGCAGCCTCCAACGCTCGCTCGGCTCTAATCCGCCTGCAACAGCATCAAACCAAGGGCCCTTCAGCCTCGGAAACGCTTTGTGCTCCTCCAGTCAGCTAATCCTGCTTAAAGCCAAGCTGACTGCCCCGGTGTAAATGCCTGATGTAAACGCACTCAAAATTGTTTGAATTAAATTTATCTCATCCCTCATGGCTGGATTGACTTCCCAGCGGTGCCTTTTCCTCAGCAGGGTTTTACAAGGATGTGTCGGCAGGTGTGGCCAAACTTCCTGACTCTGCGAGTTGCCTGCTAAAATACTCAAATGGCCAGGAGCTGCCAGCCAGGTTTCATGAGCTGTGGGGAGCTGAGCATAGTTCTTGTGCCATCCGAGATGTGGATATGGGAATGGCACCTTGGCCATCCCTGGCCATGCAAACTGGTCACCTGTGGGTCCACTCCAACCAGAACTGTGCTCAGCCACAGGTGTGGTGTGAGGCCAACACCCTGTGCAAGCAATGACTGCCTGTGCTCATGCAGAAATAATCCCTCCTGGCACTTTGCAGAGACACCTTGAGCCATTTTGAGCTGCTCCAGCGCTCTGTGCAACAGAGGAAGGAGGAGAAATTAAACATTCAAACAAAGAAGCTGCGAGAGCAGAAAATAGCTGGGATAGAGTCGGCGTTACTCAGAGAGCAGTGAGAAACCCAACTGTCCTTTGTCAAATATTTGCTTGGCTGTGTGTCATTGCTGACTGTCCCAGTACAGCGACACACGGCAGGAGTCTGTTTTGTGCTATCAATTGTGGGCAAATGAATGTAATGGGTTGTTATGGTCACCCAGATACCACCACATTGGGCAAACACAAATCCTGCAGAAACAGTGATAAAAGGGTACATTTCTGTATTTATCTGCTGGACGGCGTCTGCTTAAAAACACTGCGTTTCTCTCAGTGAAATGCTGCATTTCTATGGCATTTCACATTGGTGTTGCTCACTGTTCCGGTGCGTGAGACTGAATACACATTTATCAAGCCTCAGTTCAGCAAAGAATCTGCCTGGCTTCAGCACTGCAGGAAATCTGTTCTACCCCCAGACCGAAGCGTAATTGGAAAGCAGCTTCGACAGAAAGGAACGATGAGAGCTGCACGCTGGGCGTGAGCCTCTTGATGTACTTACCCAGCAGCTACACAACACGGTGGTGCTCACAATGAAAGCCAGCCTAATGTGCACGGCCCTGACCCAGGAAGGAGGAGGAGAGGAGTGAAGGAAAGCAATTACTCTGAGGAAAACAGGCTCTGCTGTCCCCGCATTTGCCCAGTCCAGCATTTCTCCTGAGCATGGTGCCAATCTGATGGGGTTAATGGTAGCAGGGCTTCTACTGATGCAAAGTGTGCATCATTAACAAGCAAGCAGAGGCTTCAGGACCTGCATCACACAAACACTTCAATAACATACAAAAGAAGAGGGCAGTGTTTCCTCAAATTCCTGCCCAGCTCCCCGCAACCCTTCTCCCTTTCCCTTCCCTCAGCCATCGAGTAGGTTTTTAAACGCTGTTGTGGTTTTTGTCCAAACTGATTTGAAGCAGTGTAAGTGATGAGCAGTGTGCCCTGTATCTGTGGAGTTACTTTCCCCAGCACACCTGCGCTCGGGAGCAGCCTCACTTCCCTCTCCAGCTGGCTGGGTTTTAATCCTGCTTTGTGTCTCAGGGAAATCACTGTGATGTGACACAGGAGCAAAAAGGGGTTTGCACTTACATGTGTCTGGTGGGATTTTCTTCTTCACCAAGCAACTGCAAGAAGTTAAATAAAATGCATTGTTTTGAAATATATTCAGGCACACGATGGTATCTGTCTGACACGCACACACAAGTTTGTATGGTGTCTAACTCAGCCTCCCCAGGCATTTCTACCTGTTTTCTCAATTCTGTTGCAGGATCTGTGATTTTAACCTCAATCCTTATGTCTCTCAGTGATGACCGTAAAGCCTGATCTGAGACAACCCATGTAAATGTGCCTGCCTTTTAAATCTGCATCCACAACATTGATCTCCGACTGGTGGGGGACACCTGCAAGGCTTGCAGTGCCATCGAGGATGTGACCTGCCACTGAGGGTTTGGGGAGCACGGCAGTGCCTTAATCCCATCTGTGACACCCATAAATACCTCTCCTC